TTTCATTGGCTTCGGCAACGCATTCAATGCTTTCAATATAAACCAATCCAGATTATCAATGCTTCACATTTAAGTTTCACTTTCCAATATAAAGCCACTTCAGCAGCTCAACTTTGGGAAATCTTTGTTGGAGCGCGTAGAGCTAAAAGCTGACCTAAACACTTATTCACACACTCTCTGACTGAATGACTGACTGACTGACTGATGGCTTGTCTGCTGGTTTGACAGACAGCCTGACTGACTGAGTTTAGCGGGAAAAATATATATTAGGGTATAAAAAAAAAAAACAACTTTCGTAAAGCACAAAGAAATTTCAGAGTTTGTCCATGCTGTGGACGCCAATGGCGCGTATTTTGATATTCTTGAGCTGAACATTTCTTTGGGAATTGCATTTCAAGTGCTCCCAAGCAAAGCAACAAAACGCGAACCCAAGCGCAGCACAGCACAGCGCAGCGTCAAGCAATGCAATGCATCTAAATAGAAAAAGCAAAAGAAAAATATTAATGCACAAAAAAGTTGCAAGCACAAAACTTTGTGCACTTGTGTCCAGGGTTTTTAGCTAGAAAAAGGACCTCAGCCAGAACGAAGAACAAAACAAAGAACAGTATACAACATACTGCCAAAAGTTTGGCAACTAAAAAGTGGCTCGATGACAACAAATAGCTCTCTGAGCAGCTCGACTGACAAAAGCGTTTCATGTGCAGATTGCGCATACGCACAGTAGGACAGCTGTGGGCATTGGTAAAGAAATTGGAAATTAAACTTGGCAACATTGGAATTATATCAATAAATAATAAAGGTATTTAAATTATATTTTAAATTGTGCAAAAATATATTTTATATATATACGTATTATTGTCTGTTAAAGCCAGATTTCAATCAAATGAAATGAAATATAGAATAATAATATTTGGAATATGCGAGTATAAGAACTGAAATTTAACGCAAACAAAATAGTTGGCACATTTCATTTCAAATAGATATTTGAAATATTCAAGTATTTGGCCCATACAATTTTGTTTGAAACATTTTACATGCAAAACCAAATTCTTCTAAATTGCTCGCACCCAACTGACCCGGCACGATATATATGTATGTATATGCATAAGTATGTATGTATATATGTGTGCCCACACCACTGGCGCACATTTCTTGGGCTGGGTCGTTTGGGTTTTCTAATCGCAAAATATTTGAACCTACACGAAAGCACGCAAAGAAGCAACAAGCTCCCAGCTCCCAGCATCCCAGTCTCCAGTTGCCAGCCTCCAGCTCCCAGCTCCCGAGCCAAGCTCAAAGTGAACAAAATTCCAGGCATGCCTTGGCCAACTACAGTGCCGCACCACCAAAAAACCACTGGCTGCAGCCAGATGAGGGTTATTTTTCTCCAAGGGGTAGCGAAAGGGCGAGCCAAGGCGAGGCGAGACCTGCCGCAACGAAGTGTAGCGAAACTAGGCGTGACACAATCTTTGATGCAAATTGCAAAAGTCATGGCATTTGAGTGTTTCGGCTATTGCTCGATATCGATAGCATCCTTGACTCAATATAAAAAAAAAAATAAACAGCAAGTGGACGCTAT